GCTGAACCACTTCTATCCCATTTCCACTTGACAGAGTCAGATACTGCTTCTGTCTCTGTTTCACTGTGCAGTTAAGTGGCTGATCTGTCTTCTTCAGTACGTTTTCAGCATCCTGTTGTTCTAACTTATCTCAAGAGCACCTGGGTCAAAGAGAAAATAAGAAAGCGTGCAAAGAGAGGTGCTAGTGGGTGATGGGTGGTGCCAGGAGAAAGCAAGTTCAATGCAAATTAAAAGAAACTGATGCAAATATATTGCAGGGTGAATTAGGCTGGACATCGAAGCTTAGCAGAACACAGGTGAAGACCAAACTTTAACCCCTGCTCCCAGGGACTGCAATATAATTCTCAATCACAGTATAATGACAAACAACAACTCTTATTCATAGCGATCTATTTCAGGTAAAGAGGGCTGTGCAAAGGCAAAGCTATGGCTTTGAATCTTCTCAGGCAAGGAAGGGCACTGAGTCAAGACTCCGTACTTTGAGCAAGTGCTCTAACATTGACCTAAAAAAGAAAAAAGAATGTGCTGCTAGTTTTGAAAGCAGTCATACATACTATGGAAAGCCAAACCTGAACTTTGGAACTACTTCTTAAGATTTCAGAGGAGAAAGAGAGGCAGGAATACCTAGTCTGGATCATCCTAGCAGGACCTATGCTCTGAGCTGCTTTGCCCTATGACTGAGGTGCTTTCTGGACATGCTGAAGGCTTTCTGTTACTTTGGGAATTTTAAACTTCAATATTAAAGGAAATATGGTAACTTCAATGGACAGCTGAACTGAGATTTTGAGGATTTAATTTGGATTTATGTGTCTGCAGTCCCCTAAATCATTTATTTGCATCTCAGATCATGACCATACCAGAAGTCTACTTTAAATTCTTTGGATCTTTGATGTAACCAAGATTGCAATTGTTCCTATGCTTTTTTAGGCTTTGGATTGGCAGCTTTCCATGCAGTCAGATACCCATGAGCCAGGCAGAGCTTTACTGATGGTTCTGAGCCAGTTTTCAGAACAGGCACCATATATCTTACATATTGATGATGAATAATAGAGATATATAGATCTGTTTTCACTTTGAAGAAGGTCTAAGGTTAAAAATAGCAAAATTTGCTTTACGTAACAGACCAAGAATAAAATTCAGGCTCTTTTCTGTATGCTCTCTAACAGCAATAACAGAAGATTCACTCATTGGCTCATATATCAAGACATGCTGTCTCAATTGTTCGTGCCTTACACAAGCTGGCCTTAAAATAGAACTCTGATTCTGATTTATTAAGAAAAAAATAAAAAAAAAAGAGGCAAAATCTTATTTGTAAATAATACTAAAACTATTTGGAGAGACAAGCAGAAAATCCAGCATTTAATTTTAAAATAAAGCTAGAATTTAAAGGAATTGAAACCAAAAATTTTACACTTAAATTTTATTTGGCATTCACTTCCATATGTTTGCCCAGTGATAACATCTATGAGTTAAACTGTATTCCAATATTAGTGAAAGAATGCATTTCTTTTTGTCTTGCAGAAGAAACACCCAAAGATCAGTAACTGTAATTCAAGGTCAGAATTTCTCCTGACTCTTATTCTCTTCATGCAGGAGCTGGTTTAAAACACTGCTCTGTTTGAGAGCTTCTAGATTGGATACATCTTCGCTTATAACGGGGACATCCTCACTTTGATCATCAGTTATCAGATCTTCACTGTCTGACAGCGTACACAGGAGTGTGTCATTTTCATAGGTAGGAAAGTAGTACCTGAAAGCAACAAGGCGCAATTACTAGATAGTCACATATTTTGTTTGAAAGAGGTTGAGCATATTTTATGAGACTAGATTTTAAAACAGGAAAAACGAGAAAGTCTGGTTGTCTGAATGACAGTAAACAGCACACCCAAAAAATGAAGTGGCATATACATCTTAGGAAAGTCATACAGAAGAGCTGGCAACAGACAGGTCCTTCCCTGTGTTTCTCCACTGTATGTTGTCACAGCTAAGGCTACAGATCCCAGTTTGTCTCACAACAAATGCTGAACTGAGATGTTTCAGTTAGAACACTCCCTGTGCCTTACCACCTATGGCATCATCCCCCAGACTGATGACTTAGAATCTGAATCAATGTTATGTTACACTCTCTATTTGCTCTGGAGAAAACCAAAGGTAAACAACCAATGATGCCTGAAGTTAGACAGACATTATGCATGTATCTATATTAGGCATGCAAAAGAAGTGGTTTGGTTTGGTTCTAGAACCATATGCCCAGAGCGTACCTTTACTAGCAATGAAATATGTGCCAGACACCCATCCCAGGCACGATCTGCATCTGTGTAGAGAGCTAACGGCTGGAAGAATCTTGTGCCTACAAACGGGCATTAGACAGGTCACTTAGGTGAACAGATTTAATCTTGGTTCCACCAGGAGGGAAAGTGCTCTGAGTGCACCACGTAGTGCACCACGTATGTCTTTCACTGTTCACTGCACAACTGCAAATACAGGCAAAAGAAAATTTTGCAACAATAAACTTCTCTAGTATGCTAACTTGACAGTGCAGACACAATTTGTGGGGATAGTGCCTCCTGGATGCAACTAGAAGAGCAGTATCACATGTTCATTTTAGCTTCAGATAGCACAGGGATTTATAATTCTGAGTAGTTTTGAGACCATGTATTATTTTATCTGGGCCAGTAGAGCAGGGGAGCTCAGGGCACTGTTGCACTGGCAAAACCCAGAAGTTTCAACATACTGTTTTACAGACATTATCAAGTAACAGTAGAAATGCTGGAAGAAACATGTGTGCCCTTACTGTGGTTGATCCCACGTAGACCTGGCTGGCAGGAATGTAATGTGTTTGGTCTCTTCCATATGACTTATCAATCCTCCTTTAGACTGAAATTTCTCCTGGCAGTTGTAACAACGACGATGATGGATTTCTCTTCTGATGAAGTTCACTAGCTTTACTTGCTGATAGAAGTTCAGACCTGGAATGACGGTAGCGAACAAGTGCTTGAGGAACACGACACTTAATTTATAAATGCCTTCTTGGATTAAGCATCAAGACTGACAAGGGTTTACTGAAGACCAGCACTGCCTGAATGCTGTAACTTAGCAAATTCACTGAACAAATACTTTTTACCAGCTGCAGGGAAACTAGCCCTTCTTTTAATGTAAAAATTGCAAACACCTTGCTTCCTCTCAGTCTACAGCAGGAAGCAAAAGTTGGCCAAACACAGCTTAGAGTATAGCCTTCTAAGTTGCAAGTAAGTCTTAACAGGCGTAACAACAATAATAATAATTATTATTATTCTTCCAGGGCTGCAGCAGCCACACTTGGGACTCATAGAGTGGATATTTGTAGAAGCTGATCTGCAAAAGGATCCAATGGTTTTAAAGAAAACAGCACACATCTTTGGCACTAACAACAGTTCCAGAAAAATAAAGTGTTCTTGGCGTTCTTTTGTAAGCTGGCAGAAAGAGTTTCCATAAAAGTTAAATGTCTGAACAAAAATCAAATTGATACAGTTGTTTTCCAGTATTCTTATGATGTGGTTTTCTCCACACTAGTCGCAAATGCTGACAATTACAGCATCTCTTACTCACCATGCTCTGACTTCATTTTAGGAAAGTCAAATCCATGTGATTTCTGGAGGAGAAAAAGGAAAGAATAAAATGTCTTATTTCCACTACTTCTACTATTCTGAGTTAAAAACAGCTCAGCTTTTCACAGACTGACAGAAACATACTCATAAAGACATGCAAACACTAATACATGAAACAAATCCCCAAAAGTTTTGTTTCATCAGAAACTCTAGTATTCTGTTAAACTGCAAAGCTCCTGTTAAGTTTATTACAACTGAAACACAGATGCTAACCATTGAATGTACTAAATCATCAAGTCATTATAATATTAAAGATGCTACATCTTTAGTGTCTGTACCAGTCTGTATGCTCACAAGTAATAGACAGTTGTATTCTCAACGTGAAAACTTGACTCCACGGCATATTTTAGAGAACAGATGCTGGAGATGGATGCAGTACTGCAGTTCTGCACTAAAGAGGGCATTCTAATGCAGCAGCTGATTTGATCTTAGCAAAACTGCTACAATCTTACTTTTTAATTTGAAAGTGATGAAAGAACTGATATTTAAAACAAGTCTTACCTGCATGTGAAGATACAGTTTTTCTGTGGTGTCCGCTTGTTGTTCACAGAACAGGCAAACTGCACACACAGGATGCTCTTCCCAGTCAGACCAGTCTCTTATCATTAAGAGTCGAAAAGATTCATTTAATTATGGAAAAAAGAAGAGACATTTTGTGAAAGGGCACTTCAGATTCTGCACTCAGCACCAAAAGTCAATCCAGAGAAACAGAATATTTTTAAAGGGGTGGAAGAGACAGTGTGGATTTATAGCTGGATATATAATCAGAATCTGGTTTACATCTAAAAAACCCTACAAATTCAAGAATAACTGAGCAGTTACTGTTGTGTAACTCCTGTGTAGACAGGGAGTAAGTCCTGCTTGAATTTGCCTGCACTGACAAACAGGATCTTAACTTCAGCTTCTATCCAGTTTAGCAAGTCATTAAATATCACATTCAGAGTTTATTTTTATAAGGTCCTTTAAAATTCTTTTATACCTTTCTAATCTTTCAATATATCAGCCAAAGACAGAATCAGGAGGCAAAGTTCACTCTAAGTGTTATTTACTTATCAAATATTATTATTATTGAAAGAGACATTCATGCTATATTTAGACAGGCACACAGAGAATAAATACTTCACCAACACATCCACTTAGATCCACAATACCGTGGAGAGATAGAAGTATTATTGCAACCAGGTTTAACCAAGTAAAATTAAGCTCAAGTCACAGACAGAACCAGGAAGGTCAGGGGCCCAGATAACCACAAATCACTTCCTGCTTATTCAATTCTCTACAGCCAAGGAAGCCACCTCTGCAGCTATCTATCTAATGGGCTGGACCACAGACAACCACAGAGGAGAGGCAGATGTTGCCCTCAATCAGCACCACTGAGAAGTTTCCCTCAAAATCCTGCTTTAATCTCTAATTGTTACCTTTTTATCAGACTTTTCATACAATTTCTTTCTCATGCAGACATTTTTAATGCTTACTGTTGATTTTTAAATTTGAACAAAAACAATTCAACCGTTTTTTAGTAAAAAAGTAAAAAATGTATTGCCTACATCATAACAAATCTAAAAGGCTCGTTTGAGCTATACACAAACGAAAAATAGGCTTATGGTTGAAATATGAAATTTACAGCCCTCGTTGTGGAGAAGCGTCTTTGATGAGAACAATTTGATTTGACTGGCTTAAACGAATTTTAACTGTGTACTAACTATGAACAGCATTTTCCCTTAACTGCTTTCAATGATAATGGTCTTGCAAGTCTTTACAATGGGCATATAGGTAACTCTTACTCTTCTAGGTTATCTAGTAATTCCCGGTCATCCTCTGATTGCACTTCTTCCCACGACTTTCCAAATTCCTGGGGAGAAAAAAAGAAAAGAAAAAACACTTCCTGATTCACATCACGTTTTATATATCAACTGGATGAATATCTGGGAAGTCACAATCAACATCTTATTTTCAGTCACTGTGGTATTTCTGTGAGTTAAAGATAGTCATACAACACTGCTTTAGTAATAATTTCTACAATAACAATTTGTTTTGTCTTTCAATGGGGCATTCCCCACTCTATGTCCGGAAAGAAGATGATTTGGCACAAAGCTCTCAAGAAAAGCATCGGAGCTCTGTGTAAAGCTAAAGTGTTGCAACACTATCAAGATGTTCTCGAGGTGGGTCTGTTAACAGTCTCGAGTTTGCCATCACACTTGCTCAATCCAATCTGCCTACCTTGCTCTTCACACAGCATATGCTGCTTACACAATGCAGCTACCACACCTGAGACTTTAGTTGGCTAGCTACACCAGTCAGCGCTTGCACCTTGTACAAGGTTACGTTAGTAAAAACACACGGTGTAAATCTAGCTAGAGAGTACTCCAGAAAGGCAGCATGAGCCAGGGCATAGATCTCCGAGCTAGACTCTAGTTTCTCGTCCATCCCCTTCTCGGATGTGAATGTAAGCACACCTATTCATGGCGTTCTGTTCTTCCTTTTACTTTTTCTGTTGTTTATTTATATCTTAAAGATCTTCAGCATAAAGTATATCACAATACATTTGTGCAGCATTCAGCACAATGGCAAGCACTCTCAGCATGACTGTGATAAAAATAACAGGCAACGAAAAGCTGAAGTGCTCTACTGAAATACCAGCAGTGATCTTTAGCTAGTGTTTTTCTTTCCTCTGATTTTTCCTGCCATTAACAATAAACCAGAGCAAACTAACTAGTAATCAAAATAGTATTTTTGAACTCATATTTCTGACAGCTGTGAAGGACTCACAAAGACCATAGTTGACGATCTTGTCTCCATTAAAAAAAAAAGCAGCTAGTAAAAAGACCATTCTTTCATTCAGATATTCCTTCTGATACATATATTTAATAACATCCTTAGTAGCAAGTATTAATACCTTTATGGTTGTTTGGAAGAAGAAGGAAAAGATATCCATCATTTAACAATTTAATGAGAATTTTCAAAGCTGTTAGTGTCTATTGGGTAAATGATAAACAAACGTCTCTAGACAGCTCTAAACGTAATGTCACCATATATTACAAAATGAAAATCCAGTAATTAAGTCAGTGATGCTACATGGTAGTGTGTAAACTCTCAGAGTTACAGGGGAGACTCATTAATGTCACCATTACTGTGAGATAACATGAAGCCATTAACACCTCTCACCACATGTTCTCCCAGCTGCACACCAGTCCCCTCCGGCTGCCGATGTTAACACCTTAATGAGAGGATAGTGGCTCACAACCACTGCAAAATGAAGACGAACGCTCACAATTTTTCCCCTTACCAGCCTGAAGTATATGTGCACAAAAGAGTATGTTCAAAACAGCAGCCAACATTAAGCTTCACCTTTTAATTAAGGGTGAAAGGAGAAAACCATGCACAAGCTTTGTTAGTGTTGCTGTTTCTTTACGGTGTTTCTGTGAAAAAGGCAAAGGAGGATCTTGTAAGAGGTCTCTGTTTCCCTCATCTATTTATATTCAGAGGAAAAGGAAAAAGGAAAAAGCTAATCAGGTCTTGTATCACTGGAAAATTACACAGCAAATGGATAACTAGGGACCCTGTGATGAAAGTGCCGAGAGACTGAAACTGAGCAATTGGGGGGGAAAGA